GCCACTGCCACACCTCAATTGTGCTTTCTCCTCCAACACAAAACACCAAGCTTGTCTTGCAAAACCTGCCCCTCTCCAGCCACTCACCCCTGGAGGCACTGAGGGAAAGGAAGAGGCAGAAAGCCATGACTCAGCTATCACAGGGATACAGACACAGGCATCCCTGGTGAGGTGGACAGACAGGCGTGGGGCAGGTGGGCTCAGCTTTTGAAACAAAGAGAACCGAGAAGGGGAGAGGAGATCCCCTACCCTTGGTCCATTCCCCCCTTAGAGATCTTACAGGATGTCTGCCCCTACCCCTAGAGTGACCCAAGGAGCAGGTGGGCATTACCAGCCCCACAATGTAGATACTCTTTTCCTCTGGTTAATCTCGATCTTGTCCCTCCCAAGGGAGAAAGTGGAAACAAGTAAAAATATAGCCACAGACAGCCACGAGTACATACAGGCACACGCGTCTGTGCACATCCAGCTGTATATACACCCTGTCTCCACATCTGAAAATAACTGAGGCCAGAACTTTTGTGCCTGGGTCCAGCCTGCTGTGTCGTCAGCCAGGGCTGGCTCTCCTCCCCCAGCACTCAGGTAATGAGCTCGGTTAAAGCTGAAGGGGAGGGAGGGATGTTGCTAAAAGAGAAGATCTGGTGTCCAGGGCTAAGACTTTGTTTCTGGGTTCAAAGGCTTAAACTAAGAATGTCTTACCTGGCTCGACTCTCTTCGTGACAGCTTTGGACTGTTAGGAAGCAGGGTTGAGGGAAGTTGAAGGCACCACCCTGAACACCATGTGGTGAATAAAAGGAGCACAGGATTCAAACTGGGACCCCTGGAAGCTAGCAGGGAGAGAGCAATCACTTGCTTCAACCCATTGTTTTATTTGAAGAGCCTGAGACCCAGCAAAGGAAGGTGACTGGCCCAAATCCCAGAGTGAAGTGGCAGCAATATTGAGTCCAGAACCAAGGTTTTTTTTTTTTTTTTTAAGATTTTATTTATTTATTCATGAGATACACACACACACACACACACACAGAGAGAGACAGAGAGAGAGAGAGAGAGAGAAGCAGAGACATAGGCAGGGGGAGAAGCAGGCTCCATGCAAGGAGCCCGATGTGGGACTTGATCCTGGTACCCCAGGATCACGCCCTGGGCCAAAGGCATGCACCAAACCACCGAGCCACCCAGGCGTCCCAGAACCAAGGGTTTTTGACTCTCTGTCAAGTCTCTTCCTGCTACTTCCTGCACGTGGCATTCTTGGTGACTCCCAAAATGGTACAGCATCCACAACACAACTGGTTAGGGTGTGCCTGTCACACACTAGGTGATCGTTTACTTTCTTTTATTCAATACTGTTTTAGGCAATGGGGATAATAACTGTACACTGTAAATCCTAACCATTATCATAATGATAGCAGCTAACATTTGAGTCCTTATGTTGTGCTGAGCACCATTTCCTTGATCCTCATGACAACCCTGTGATACAGGTACTACTATCCCCATTTTACAGATGAGGAAACCAAGGCACAGAGAGTTTGCCGATTTACCTGAGGTTACACATTCTGGAAACGTGAGTTCAAACCACTTCCCTATGCTCTTAGTGACTACATTTCACTGTTGCCTCCCAAGTATACTGGCCAACAAATCAATATAACTTCAGGCACTGTTAAGTACTAATCAAAAATAAAGCATGGCAGGAGACAGAGGATAGAGGAGACGGTGGCTCTCTCCTGATCTCCAAGTCTGGTCGTCAGGGAAAGGGTTTGTGAAGATATGATAACATTTGTACAGAATACAGACTAGCAAGGAGTCCACCATGCCAAGATCTGAGAGAAAGGCATTTTAGACAAAGGCAACAGTTTGGATTCTTTTCCAAGAAAAATGGAAAACTGTCGGAAGGTTTCAGCAGGGGTGTGACACATTTTGCTGTGTGGTGGAACAGGACAAAAGATTTGAAATTTTCAGGAACCGATGATGGTGAAGAGGAGATGGGATGGAAAGCCAGAGCATCTGGGACCCGCACTCTCATGTTGCTCCCCACATTCCTAGGGCCCCTCTAACAGGATGGGTAACTTTTGAAAATAAAGGACTATGGTCCCAACTCAGCCCATCCACAGTCCTATCACCACTTCTGCCTCATGGAATCCAGCAGCTTTGGGGGAGGAGACCTGCCTGAAGTCTGGTGGGGAGGAGAGGAGTGGGGAGGGAGGGAGGACAGCATGTCCAAGGTGGGAGCTCTTCACAAGACTGTCATCAGGAAGGGCACCTGGGTGGCTCAGTGGTTGAGCGTCTGCCTTTGGGCTCAGGTCATGATCCTGGGGTCCTGGCTCAAGTCCTGCATTGGGCTTCCTGCAAGGAGCCTGCATCTCCCTCTACCTATGTCTCTGCCTCTCTCTGTCTCCGACGAATAAATAAAATCTTTAACAACAACAACAAAAAAGACTGTCATCAGGAGGCAGATTTCTGCAGGGGTCACTCTGTTCCCCACTTCTTTCTACCAGGAGAGGACTGAGGTGGGTAGGCATCCTTCCTGCAAATCACTACCCCAGGGGATTCTTTATGTTTCCCTCCCAGTCTGAAAGGTCCTCCCCAGACCCAACCACAGGCCTTCCCCAGGACTCTGGGCTGGATTGCTTAGGATGGGGAGGAAGGAGACTGGGTGCACAGAGACATCTAGAAAAAGCAAGTTCTGTGGACTTCCCTCCCCTCCCACCCCGTTCTCTCCCACAAGTCTCCATTCCCCTGCTTGGCCAAGCCCAGACAGGACTCTATCATGTCTGGGGAGGGAGAGAGTGGTGGGAGTTGCCAACAGCTCCCTTGGCTGTTGGCTGAACTCACCTTCTTCCTTTCCTCCCCTCCCACTCCCAAGACACTCAAGAAGCCAAAGAAAAATGAGGGCAGTATTCCTTCCCACAAGCCCACAGCCTCAGGCCTGGATTGGCTCCTGGTCCTGTAGCTACTTGCAAGGCTATTTAACAGTGACGCTCAGGGCCACCTTTCACCCTAGCCCACCGTCCTCTCATTGAAACCTTAAAGTCCCCAGTAGGAAGAGGAGCCTGGGGTCACCTGGGTGGCTCAGTGGTTGCCTGCCTTCAGCTCAGGTTGTGATCCCGGGGTCCTATGATCGAGTCCCGCATGGAGCTCCTCTCAGGGACCCTGTTTTTTTTTTTTTTTTCAAGATTTTTTTTATTTATTTATTTTTTTAATAAATTAATTTTTATTGGTGTTCAATTTACCAACATACAGAATAACACCCAGTGCTCATCCCGTCAAGTGTCCCCCTCAGTGCCCGTCACCCATTCACCCCCACCCCCCGCCCTCCTCCCCCTCCACCACCCCTAGTTCATTTCCCAGAGTTAGAAGTCTTTATGTTCTCTCTCCCTTTCTGATATTTCCCACACATTTCTTCTCCCTTCCCTTATATTCCCTTTCACTATTATTCATATTCCCCAAATGAATGAGAACATACACTGTCCTTCTCCGATTGACTTACTTCACTCAGCATAATACCCTCCAGTTCCATCCACGTTGAAGCAAATGGTGGGTATTTGTCGTTTCTAATGGCTGAGTAATATTCCACTGTATACATAAACCACATCTTCTTTATCCATTCATCTTTCGATGGACACCGAGGCTCCTTCCACAGTTTGGCTATTGTGGACATTGCTGCTATAAACATCGGGGTGCAGGTGAGGGACCCTGTTTTTTCCTCTGCCTAGGTCTCTGCTTCTGTGTGTCTCTCATGAACAAATAAAATCTTTAAAAAATAACATTTCACCACAAAGCTGTTGTGAAATCACTTAAAATGAGACCTAAAAGTAGTCACAGTAGAAGCTTAATAAGTGGTGAGAAAGGTTGAGGTGCGGTGGACAGCTAATGGGCTTGGTGCAGCAGAGCTAGAGGGCTGGGGAGCCTGTTGGGCACTTTTGGGAAAGAACACTCGGATTCCCAGCAAGGAAGCCCAAGTCTTCCAGAAAGGGGGGGGGGTGTAGTTTGCTGACTTTTCTAGTGAATTGGCGCTTCTAGCAAAAAACGTCCCCGTTGCTCACTACTCCCAGCTTTGCTCACGCCCACCACCTGCTTGCTATTCACACTAACTCCTCGGAGCAAGATCCAGCAGCACAGCCAGCCACACCCTCCCTCCCCCACCTCTCCAGCTCCTTCCTCGGGGCCTCTGCTGGCATCCCCTCCTCCAACCCCACGTCACCCCCAAGCCTTGTAAACAATGAAATCCCCCAATTTCGCAGTCTTGTGAAACATCCCTGCTTCTTGGGGAGCCGTTCCGCGCCGGACAAAGTCCGAGGGGGGACCTGCGGCTCCACGGTCTCCCCTCGGGTTGCCTCCCGCCCCGCAGCCTCCTCCGAATCGTCACGGCCTCGCGCGGGCCTTCCGCTCCAAGGACCCAGACTGACACCTTCACCAGCAGCACAGCGCGCGGCCCTAGCGCCCAGACACGAGGCCGCTGCCCCACCCCCGGCCTCGCCGGCGCCCCCGGCCCGCCCACCGCGCCGCCCGGAACCCTGGGAGATGTAGTTTTCGGCCGCTCTCCGCATGGGCGCGGCCAGCAGGGTCAGCCAGCCTTCCCCACGATGCGTCTTCAGACCCACTGGCTTCACTATGGGGGAGCCCTAGAGCGTCAGAGGGGCTGGGCAGTGGGCTGGCCGCTGGCGGATAAGGTCCAGCAGGTCTCGTTTGCGCTAGGGCCTTGGACAAGTCCCCTAACCTCTGCAAAAGGCCCCATCTTTGTAGGATTGCCAGGGAGAGCCTGGGCTCAGGACCTGGGAGGTACCAAGTTTCTTTAGTAAAGGGATCCTACTGTTACCCTTCCTGGACTGGCAGAGTTGCCAAAGGCAATCAGCCCCTAGAAGTGGGAGGACCCAGGGCCTGGACATGGGGACCCCCACCCCAAACACCCCCCAAGCCCATATATATTTGGGCAAGCACCTGAGATGCTCACCCTGCCGGACCGAGTTCCCCTCATTGCCTCTGGCTATCCACAAACACGCTCTACATTTACTCAGAAATATCTGATATTTATTTCCCAACATTTTGATAATCTTTCTTACAAATTGAATAAACGGAATGAAGGGGAATAAGTGGGACCCCAGGCCTGGCCTTGGTCTCTGGATAAGAGGTGACAGTATGAAAACTTCTCACCCACAACTCTTGGCCTGTTGCCCTAACCTCTCCTACCAACCTTACCTAAGAGTGAGGTGGGGCTTTTTGGAAGATGTGGGGATTCCCCCCTACAGGGGACTCCGGGCATCCTGTTTCAGGCCCTGAACTGCTTCAGGTTGGGGGCCAGCATGGGTCCAGATATGGCGCCGCCTCCGCCTCTCCTGCCTGCGGGCCAGCTGTCGTAGCTGTTTCCGGAGGGCCCACAGCACCAGGTACACTTCCCGCAGCATCTCAGCCTCCGGTGTCTCCAGAGGGGACCCAGATTTCATCTGGGAGGAAATGGAGGTAGAACTCACAGAGGACTACAAAAGAGAGAGAAGATGAGCACATGTAAATAGCTGGTGGAGAAACCACTGGTGGAACCATTGCCAGGTGAACAGCAAAGCCTGGTCTAGTTCCACCTCCTCCAGTGGGGCCTAGCTCAGGCACCACCTCCTTCAGGAAGCATTCCCAGGCTGCAGTAGGTGTTTGTCTCTGCTCTTTTATTTGGCTCATCATATGGCATGTCATATGCTATTTGTTCTGCAGACCTGTCTGTTTTCAGCACTAGAATTTGAGCTCCTGAAAGGCAGGAAGCATGTCTCATCTATCTTCAACTCCTCACTAGGGTTTCATGGAGATTGTGATAATATGAAGGACAGGATCGGGGCACTTGGGGGACTCAGCCAGTTAAGCGTCTGCCTTTGACTCAGGTCATGATTTCAAGGGTCCTGGAATCAAGCCCCGAACTGGGTTCCCTGCTCAGGGGGGAGAGCCTGCTTCTCCCTCTGCCTATGTCTCTGCCTCTGTGTGTGTGTGTGTGTCTCTCATGAATAAATAAATAAAATATTTAAAAGAATAATAAAAAATAATAAATAAAATAAAATAAAATGAAGGACAGGATTGGGGTGCCTGGGGGGCTCAGTCAGTTAAGCATTTGCCTTTGGCTCAGGTCATGATCCCGGGGTTCTAAGATCCAGCCCTGTGTGGGGCTCCCTGCTCGGTGGGGAGTCTTTGTCCCTCTCCCTCTGCCACACTCCTCCTATTACTAGTGCTCTCTCTCAAATAAATAAATAAATCTTTTTTAAAAATGAAGGACATTTTTCCTCCTCTGTCTCCTCTTCAGAGGTCCCTTGTCACCCCAGGCCTGTATATCCCACTGCTTCCTAGATCTCTAGATCTCCATGCAAATGTCCCACCAACATCTCAACTCATCTTGTCCCAATGCCCTCAACACATCACTTGCACCCCTAAGTCTGCCAAAAACTCCATTCTCCATCCCAGTGGATGGCTCCAGCCTACTCTGACTCTGCCTCTCCCTCCCCCACTTCACCGTCATTCAGTCAACCGACTTGGGACAAAAATTCTACCTCTTAAATACCCTGCCTCTCCTCTTGTCCTTTTCTGACCTGCCCATCACAGGGTGCCAAGTGAACTTTATTATTAGTGCTGTAATACTTCATTCAAGGCCAAGGAAGCTGGTTTGGTAGTGATCGAGACACTTCCCTTTTTAAAATTACATTTCTGACTTTGAGATAATTATAGTCAGATCCAGTAGTGAGAAATACTAGAGTCCCTGTATGCTTCTTCTTTTTTTTTTTTTTTTTTTTTTAGATTTTATTTACTTATTCACGAGAGACACACAGAGAGAGAGAGGTAGAGGCAGAGGGAGAAGCAGGCTCCATGCAGGGAGCCTGACGTGGGACTCCATCCACCACTGAGCCACCCGGGCTGCCCTCCGCCCCCCAGCCGCCCCTGTATGCTCTTTACCCAATTTCCCCCAGTAGTAAAATCTTGCAAAACTGTAGTATAGTATCATAGTCAGGATACCTGACATCCATACAATCCAGTGATATTCACAACCCCCCCACCCCCACAGCTTATACTCATTTGTGTGCATGTGTGTTACATTCTACCCAATTTTCTCTCACATACGCAGATTCATGTATCCAGCTAACATACTCAATATACAGAACATTCTCATCACCACAAGAATTCCCCATGTTGCACTTTTATAACCAACCTACCTGGTCCTTGCAACCACTAAACCATGAATCGAGTCTCCATTTCTAGAATTTTGTTATTTGAAGAGTGGTATATAATATAAATAGAATCATACAGTACGTATATATAAACTTTAGGGATTTGTTTTCACTAGGCATAATTCCTGAGACTCATCTAAATTGTTGGGTGTATCAGTAATTTGTTTCTTTTTATGGTCTAGAAGTATTCCACCAGTATGGATACATCACAGTTTAACCATTCCCCCACTGAAGGACATTCGGGGTGGTTTTGGCTCTTACAAATAAAGCTGCTCTGAACATTCATGCAAGGATTTTTGTGTGAACATAAAGTTTCGTTTATCTAGGATAAATGCCCAAGAGTACAACTGCTTGGCATATGATGATTGCATGTTTAATTTTATAAGAAACTACCAAACTGTTTCCAGAGTGGCCACACCACAACTTACGAGAGAGGGTAAGCTTTCTAAATTAAAATCTGTGTCACTCCTACACTCAAATGTCTACAAGGGCTCGCATTGCTCTAAGGGTCAAATCCAAACTCCACAGATGGCCAACCACTCTGCCTTATACAAGCTGGGCCTTGACCCCAGGACTGACCATACCCATCGCATTGGGCCAGCACCCCTCTGACCACAGCCCACTTGCTATTCTGTCTTCATGGAATACTCCCTTCACTCCCTCCTCACCCCACTCCAAGGCAGAGTCAATCCTTCAGGTGTCAGCTTCATCCTCTCTTCTGCTGTGAAGGCTTTCCTTGACTCCAACTCTGGATTAGATGCCCTGCCCCTGAGCTACCACAGACCCTGACTCCCCTTGTTACGCCCCTAAGATACTGAACCTATAATGCCTGTGACATTGTCTGTAGATCCCTTAGCCTGGGTAAATCTTGTTCATCATGTATCCTCCATTGCCTCCATTGTCTCAGTGCCTGAGAGGCATACAATATAAATGTTAACCAACTGCCTGGAGGAAAGAATGAGTCACAGGGGATCAGGGAGGGTGGAAGGACCCCTGGGAACCAGAGAAATAGGATGCTGACCTTCCAGGTACACATTTGCCAGCCGCTCTGTAGGGCCGAGCCCATGAGCATGGATACAGACTTTACAGCTGTCCGCGGCAGCTGCAGCAGGGATCGGCCCTCACATCTCTTCTCCACCTCAGCCTTCTCTGTTGATTTGGTCAATGTGAAGGCATCAGCCACCTTGGCGGTCTCCTCTGTCTTGGAGACCTTAAAGGCCTCTTTGCAGGGCTCGACCAACTTGAAAGTCTCAACCACCTTGGGAGTCTTCTCCACCTTCAAAGCACTTTTCTGGGAGTCATGGTGTTCCAAGATGGTTGACTTAGCTTTGTGTTTCCAGAAAAAAACCTAAGAACAAGATAGGAAGGAAAGAGACAAAAGGGGGGCATGGTGGTTGATAGAAAGGCAAGCACAGAGGGGAAGGGGCAGTGGACGTCCCCACCTCCTCCCCAGCTGGGTTTCCAGGACCTAGAGGTCACTGACCGGCACCTCCAATCCCAGCAGGTCATGAGGAAGGGCATGCTCTGAAACTCACCCAGCAAGTAATCTTTCGCCAAATCCATCGGAAGAACCTCATTACCACAGCCATTTCTCCCAATAGACGAGCACCAAGTAGGGGGCAGGACAAACATTTGGTACAAAGGGTGGAAGGGAACAGACTGCAGGCCAGTGGCCACCACCTGACGGGTCTCTCAGGAGCTTTTGGTACAACCAAGAAGAAAGAAATAGAGAATCCAGGGGGAAAGTTTTCACCAATGACTCATCCTAAGTCTTTCCTCCCCTCCCTGAGACAGGGAGAGGAGTCAGAGTGGATGAGAACTCAGAGGAAGGCAGAGTTCTAGCCCATTGTGAGAGCCTACCTGGCCCTGACCTCCCCACTGAGGCCCTTTCAGGACCCCGGGAGCCAATCCCTGTGTCCTTAGCCCTCCTACCTCAGGTCCAGGGAAGGTGAACTAATATTTACTGAGCGCCTGGTACTCACTGGCCATTTCCCACATAGGATGTCATGTAATCATCATCATCACAGCTCTCTGGTAGGTATTGTACCCATGAGGAAGCAGAGATATGGAAAACGCAAAGAACCTGCCCAAGGTCGTAAATCTAGGGAGCTTTGGGGCAGGAAGTCCAACCTGGGTCAGCCTCTAGCCTCCCACTCTCTGTGGGTCTGAGGCCAGGATGCTCCCAGGCGGAGGCTGCTGCCTTCCCCCAACCCTTCCCCACTAGATGGGGTCCTTCTCTCTACCTGCCTCTGCTGCCTGGGACAGAAGCCCAGGCAGGGCTGTCAGGGAGGGGCCGCTCACCCACAGCCAGCTGAGGGTGGAAGCCACGGAGGCCAGCCAGGCCTGGCGAGGGCACTGTGTGCCCGGGGAGCCTGGCCCACACCCAGAGCTGAGACAAGGAGCCCATTCAGGACCCCCCCAGCCCCGCCCCCCCAGCCACCACCGGGATCCATCCCGCAGAGGGGACACACTGGGAAGCTGAGGGTGGATCCTGCACAATCACCAAAGGCCCCATTGTTTCCCTGCCTGCCCCCCCCCCAGCACGTGGGCTAACGCCCCCTCCCTCCCTCCGCCTTGCCTGCCTGCCCCTTCCCAGGACCTGGGCTGCTGGCTCCCTTTGGACCCTTGGTGCACCCCCACACCCCACAACTCTTTAGACTACTCTGAGCCACATTCAACCTCCCCAGTCTGGACAAGATCTCCAAGGGAACCCACAGTTTCAGTCTTTCCCCAAGTGGAAAAGCCACCGCAGGCCCCATCTGGACACAAGCAACAAGATGCCAACCTCCAGATTCAAGTTTCTTCAGATTTTTTAATTATAATTATTATTTTAATAACAACCTGAATCCCAGAACTTGCAGACTGTCCATACTCCCTCCCTTGGGCAGAGGAGAATGGGTACTTTGAGGGAACAAGGTGGGGATGGGGTGTCCGCCCGGGAGACTCCAACTCGCCCAGACATCTACTGCCAGGGTTCCCAGAACACTGACACCTCGGGAGTGGGGAGGAGGGCTTTATCTAACACCCTATCCTGAAGCCCTCCCTCCTCCTTCAAGGCCTGGGGATGCCGCTGCCCAGTCTCTGGGCATTAGGGGGAGACTGAGGAAGAGTGGGGGGACAGGCTGATTCTGAGCCTTCAACTCCCATCCCCAGGGATCCGGAGGCGTTAAAGCTGCATAGGAAGTGGGGGTGGGCAGCTGGCACAAGGCCTGGTAGCTGTGGCAGCCCCCAAAGGCACATTGTGAGGGAAGGGAGGCTCAGACGGAGGGCCCATTGGGCGCAGAGGGCCCCAGCCGTGGGACTCCCGAGGAGGGCAACTGGGCCAGCTGCTCAGGGCTGGCCAGGGCACGCAGCAGTCCATTCTCCTGCTCCAGCGCGGCATTCCGCTCGGCCAGGTCTCGGATCTGCTCCTTCAGCACCTCCACCTCCTCCCGGACCGCAAACATGAGGTGGGACTTCACCAAGTCCTGGGAGCCCAGGGACAGACAGAGAGTCAGGGGTCCTAGACCACCCCAACCTCATCCCTGCCCAGTGCCTCGAGGGCTTAGGTATGAGAGATGCCCCTGCCCCCAAATGATGAAGTACCACTGGAGAAGCAGCAAAGCAGGGATGAGGTGGTGGTGGTGGGGTGGCGGGAGGCACGATGTGCAAGGATGCCGCAAAGAGACAAGATCAGGGCTTGAAGACAGAGATGGGGGCCAGGCCAGGGGCCAAGGGAAATCAGGAGTTCCAGTGGAGACAAGAGGGTGTGAGAACCCAAGGGAACCCAGCTGGGAGTAGGCTGAGGGGCTAGGAGTCCGAATTCCCTAATGAGGACAACAGGGGTGGGGCAGCAGGACGTGAGCCAGAACCTCCTGGGACCAAGATGGCTTCTCTTACCATGGCTTGTTCGATCTTGTTGTCAATGCCAACCAGGCTTCCGGAGCCGCTGGAGAGACACAGGGAGTTGAGAGGTGAGGAGGAAGAGTAGGTGCCAAGCCAGGTGTCTGGACACCCCAGCCGGCTGCCTTCCAGGTGCTTCTCAGAGCAGGCTCTGGCCTCCTCCACAAGCCCCATTCACTGTAGCCTCCCGCCCACACCCCTGCCTGTACCTGTGACAGTAGAGAATCAGGGAGAGGAGGGTTTTGTCCATCCCCTGGCGGGGTGAGGGCAGCTGCCCAGGCACCCCCAGGCCCCGGTGGGGTGGGGGTGCAGATGCCCCCCGGATGGGGGATGCTCCCCGAGGGGAGCAAGGAGAGGAGACACAGCCCCTTTTTCGGGGAGGTCCTGGAACCATCCCCACCATGCGCGTCTCATAAGATGACACCAGGGACTTGACAGAGATGCCTAGCTGGGCCATCCCCAAGGGAAAGGGCTTTAGGCTGTATCAGAAGGGCTGCCTGGGGGGCTCAGAGCCCCCCGGGGCAGAACAGGGTCTAGCTGGTGCCAGGCAGGCAGAGAGGAGACAGTGCCTAGGGGGTGCTGGTCTGAAAGATATACACCGCCCCCCACGGCAAAGCCTGGCTGTGATTGGCTCCTCAGGGACACGGGGACCCCCTCCCACTGACTCCATGGTGGGCGGGAATTCCCAGACATGGTCAGTGCCAGTGTCCCCTTCTTACCCTGGCACCAATCCCAGAGCAGAGGGAAGGCGGCAGGCTGAAGGAAGTCAGCTGGTGGGCTGGGTCAGGGGAGGGGCTCTGGGGCCAGAGGCCTGGGTCAGGGAGGGGCATGAAGGGTGAGGGACAGCCTGGCCTTGGGAGACCTACCCCCACCTCACCCAGTTCTGTCCCCTATGGGCTAATACTGTCCTCCCTCACGCCCTCAGCTCCACTAGGCTGGGATGGCGGGCATTTCTGATATACTTGTCATCTTCCTTGGACTGTAAGCACCCAACCCCCACTCCCATCCCAGATGCACAAAGCCCACATCATGAGTGACCCCAGGGGCCTGGGCAGAGAGCATCTCCCACCTCCCACAGTGAAGAAGAAAAGTGGAAAGATTACCAAAGCAACGAAAACAGCCCCAAAAGACGGGAACAGCCTATGGATCTGGAACCTGGGTCTTGGGTCTCAGGTCTTGGAGGGACCAGAGGCTTTTGAGGAGAGGTGAGAAGCAGGAATCTAATTCCCAATTTAGAGCAGGGGCTTTGAAGACCCTTGAGAGCAAATGAAAGGGGAGAGCTGGTCTGGCTGCAGTTTGCTAAACGGCCAGCAGAGGTCGACTCAGGCCTGGCTGAACGGTTCCCAGGGCCACCCTCTGGATACCGCCAGCGTGTCCTGCCTGCCTGAGGCTGAGGGCCTGGTGCACAAGCCTTTCTACCTTCTATCCCCCAAGACTCCCTCTTGTTACCACCCAGGTCTCAGGCTCCTGCTTCATCCCAGGGCTCACGACCCACCCCTGTCCTGCTTCTCCCTCAGCCACCTCAGCCCTAGGGCCAGCTCCACACCCAGGCTCCCCTCAGACTGCAGGATCCATCCTGTCCTCAAGCCCCCAGCTCTGTCCCTCCCAGAGTGAGGCAGTCTCCACATGCTGCATCCCGGTTCTCTGGTGCTCCCCTATCAAGCCCTTTCTCCTGATTGCCAGCTCATACTCACTATCCTGTGGGGGGAATTAGCCCTCAATTCAAGGTGACCCTTGGATGAGGCCCTGCAGCCGGAAGGCAGCACGAGGGAGCTGGGATTTTTCCATTTCCTGTCCAAGCTCTGGGTGCAGAAGGCGCTGACAAGTGGAGTAACCAAGGGGGTGACTGGGCCTGAGAGAACGGGACACTGTAGGGTGAGGAAAGGACACTGGGATTCTCAGGTTTGGGGTGGGGAATAGGACAAATTTAAGAGTGGAGGGTGAGCTAGCCAGCTGGAGTGCCAGGGAGGTTTTCAAGCTATTTTGATCTGAGACACTTGGGTAGAGCCTGGGCAACCATAGGACACATACCCCCTCCCCACCCACCCATCCCCACCCTGTACACACAGACAGAGACGGAAGAGGGGAAGATTCACAGGAATAGGAACACTGGCCTTGCTTGGCAGACACCCAGGTAAAGATGCCAAGTAAGTTGTTCTTGCCAGAAATAAAGAAATAATACAACAATAAACATTTGTTGGCTGATAGATGACTATCTCCTGTTTGTCTAGTGCTGGTGAGTTTTTGACAGCACTTTCCACTGTCACATTCTAACGTTAACACTTCAAGGGACCAGGTTAACACTTCAAGGGACCAGGACTCCAGCTGGCAACCCAAACCCTCCCTTTGAGAGCCTCCCCACCCCCCACCCCACCCTCACCTCAAGTAAGTAAAAAGCAGGTGCTGTGCTGGAATTCCCAGGGCAGAGTCAGGACCCTGAAGCTTAGAGTTGGCTGGGTGGGATCAGCTCCCACCACAAGCCCAGAGGCAACTGTGTGAATAAGAACAGGATGCCCCCTCCTTCAAGACACTTACTGCCATCTTGGGGAAAATTGTCATGACTTCAAGTGTCGGTGATAATGACTTCAAATGTGAATGGTGCCCCTTGGGGTTAGGCATGAATGATAGGCACAGCTGAGGACTGGCCCTGCAGGACTCTTGAGTCTTGGAACAAGGATAGCCCTAGAGGCCGGTCTTCCTTTTTGAAGGTCAAATGAAACTGCCTCAAAATGAGGATCCACCTGGGAGAGGTGGAAAGGTTCTAATCCTGGGGACAAGGGCCAGCCCTGCTCTGAGGAGCCCGTAGGGGATGGGCCTGAGGCCAAAGAAGTGGCATCCGGCTGCCCTCTCTATACTACTCCCTCCCGGATCCGTGGTGTCTTTGGGGTGGGGCCAGGCCAGAGTGTGGGGGTGGGGGAGAGGGAGGGGTGGCTCCTTGCCCAGCTTAGGAGAGCTGTCCCTGCCCCTGTCCTGGAGAGAAAGGGCATCCTAGAAATGATTGCCTCCTCCTTGATTCTTGGGACATAGGCATCCCAGTAAGAGAATGGAGAATGTGGCTTTGGGGTCAGACCCAGGTTCTGAATACTATCCTGGTATCTACTAGCTCGGTGACCTTGAGCAAGTTCCTTAAACCTTCCTCCTCTGGCTTGCATTCAGCTTCTTCATCTGGAAAGTAGGGATCATGAGGTTGCTTCAGTGAGATAAAAGGTAGCACCCGACCCAAAGGAAGCACTGGATAAATAAATGTACCTTTTCTTTCTCAAGTCTCTGGGATTCATTCCTTATAATGCCTGGATCCCCAAGGCTGGCCATCTACCCACCCATCCATTCGTCCATCCATCCACTTATTCAAGTACCTCCTGACTGCCAGGTCCTGTTGGAAACATGAAGGCTCTTGACACCCAAAAGCACGTGTGCATTCACCATTCACCAGGCACCCTCTGTTCTCTGAACCCCAGATTCTGAGATTAGCAGGCATCCCCAATTCCCCATCTGGGATCCAGGCACTTAATCCCCAGCCCACTTTCCCTCTTGAAAGGGAGGTTCCAGGCCACTCAGACCCTGTTCTTGCACCAGCTCTGGGCACACCAGAGAGATGAGGTGGGAGCTACAATGCCTCATTCCAGGGGACCAAGGGGGTGGCCCAATCCAATCCTACCTACCTGCCCGGTAGGGTGGGGCAAGAGAGGGGCTGGGCCAGGCTGGAGCCCCAGAGGCTCAGAGTGGGGCAGGATAAAGTGGAGGCTGGGTGCCTGACCGGTCAGACTGGGGTGTGGGGAGGGGGTGGAACAGAGGGAGGGAGGGAGGGGACAAGCCAAAAGAATAGAGTTGAGGAGGCTCCAGGAGGCAGAGCCCTCTCAGAAGCAGCAGGAGGTTGGGCTCTGAAATCAACAGGGGTGGGGAGGGACAGGGAGCCCTCCAGCCAGGGAACCTCCCAAGTGGGAGGGAGTAGGGGTGGGAAGCGCTGAGAATAGCAGCAGTGGGGGCAGGTGACTGGCTGGGCCCTGGCCAACCTCACACCTCACACATTCCTGAGAGCTTGGGAGCCCAGCAGCGGCCCTGCCCTGCCCCACTGTGTCCCTCATTCTCCACCAGCCGCCACCAGGGCCCTGGCCCTCCATCCCACCCCACGGCCTGCCAACCCTTCTCCTTCCTCTCCCCAAGGCCACAAGCCCTTTCCCTTGGTGAGACTCACTCCCTCATTCTGGGAGGGGCGAGGGGAGGGGGATCGCAACAAGCGAGGGGAAGGGGAAGACCGGAAGGAGAGACTCCCTTCAGGGCAAGGTCCCCCCCAACACCCACAAAACTCAGGGCTAAGCCCCGCCCTTTACTTTCCTCCCAAATGGGAAGTCCCTCCCCCAAGCCTCCAACAGGAAGTCCCACTCCTCCCTCCAAAATAAGAGTGGTGACTCCCCAGCCCTTCTATCAGGACCCGGCCAGAAGGGAGCAGCCGCCCTATCAGACTCGCAATTTCGTTCCTCCCTTTTCAGCTCGCTGACATTCCTATGTTGAAACCTGGCCCTCGAAACAGGAAGTTCTGCCCACCGTTGCCTCCAAACTGAGCAGACGGTCTTCCCTGAAGTTGGGACAAAGCCCGTTAGATGGTGCCCCCTGCGTCCCCCCTGCGTTCCCCCTGCGTCCCCCCTGCGTCCCAGAGCCGAGTGCTCCAGGCGCTCCCCGCTCCCCGGGGCTCTGGCTCGGGCCTCCTGGTCTCCCTCGCGCAGGGGGCAGAACCTCAGGCACGACGCACTTTCTTGCTACTAGAGGTCCTAGGATCCTAAAGTAGTGCGCAGGGTCTCTAGGGATGTTACTTCACACAAAGGCAGGAGTGCCATTTCCCTCTGCGGGGAGAGGGAGGTAGGAACCGAGAGGAGACCCACTCTCTATTCTCTCCAGAGCATTTGCCAGTAAATTCTTCGGGTTGGCCAAATGATCGCTAAATCTGCAAGAGCTCTGGAATTTGACAACAATGACTCCCTTCAAAGTCTAAAAAAAAAAAAAAAAAAAAAAAGTCTATGATTTGACAATCCTAAGCCAAGGAGTCCCACCCAGCCCTCTCCACAGAGAGGGAGTGGGTCCCAAATCAACTTTGCCCAGTGGTTGTGCCAACACCAGGTTTTTCTGTCGAAGAGGCCCTCTCCCAAGCTTAACTTAGGGGAAGGACACCTACCAGGCACTTTCAGGCGGCCATCCCAGGTGCTGGGCGGGGACCCAGAGCCCACCTACCTATCATCATCGCTGTCCAGGTGGCCACTGATGGCCAGCATGGAGCGGGCCAGGCTTAGGCTCTGGGCTGCTGCTGCTCCAAAGGGGTCTGGAGACTTGTGAACCAGACTGGCATCGGGGAACAAGTAGAGGGCTGGGGAACCAGGGCGAGAGTCGAGTGGGGGCACCTGGAGGCAGAGAGGTAGGAACCATCACATCTAGTGCAAGAAAAGAACCAGCCACCTTGCAACCTGCCTAGTAGTCAGCCCCCTCATCTCTCCCCGTGTATCTCTGCTCTCTTCGAGGACCCAGGAGTCCTGCCCCCAGGGCCCTTTCTCCCCTGGGTCTAGTGGAGGCAACTAGGCAGGTATCAGAGTAAAGGAAACAATGTCCATCCTGAGGACTGGGTGAGCAGCTTCCAGAAAGTGGTTCATGGTGTATCAGAGTACCAGAGAGGGGCTCTGGGCTGTACTCTAGCACTCTTCTACCAGCTGAACCAGGACCCCCAATCAGAGGCTAGGCAGAAAGTGTCTGGCTTCTGTCACCTGACTTATTAAAAGCCACTTGAATGTCACTTCCTCAGAGAGGCATTTCCCCATCATTCGACTAGTGAATTCCACTGAACTGTTCTATTTTATTTTTAGAGCACTGAATAGTATCTGAAATTAAAGTATTTTTGCCTCCCTGCTGTTCGAAGGTAAGCTCCAGAGGGCAGAGCTTATAGTTTGTTCAATAGCTATTTGTAGAATGAATGAATCCTCAGAAACGGGTCCTCCTCCCACCCCACTCTATCCATTCTAGGCTCTTCTCAAACTTCTCAGATTCAGGTGAAGTTCTGCTCCTGCGCTGGGCCCTGGGGCAGGGAGGGTGGTTGGATTGCGGAGATGGGGGGAGGCGGAGCCCGGGCACAGACCCACACAGCCCAACAGGCACTGGGGGTGGCTGCAAAAGGGCGGGGGCCACAGGAACAAGCCGCCTCTGTGAGGCCCCAGGAGGCCCCTGCTTCTCGGAAAAGCCAAGAACAGAGAGTCCAGAGCGGTTAGAGGGCCGGAGCAGAGGAAGGGGGCCCAGGTGGTGTCCCCCCAGCCTTCCTCTCAGCCTCACTCTTGAGAGGGAAGAGGCATGGGGGAGTATGGAAGGGAGCCAGACTTCGGGGCCAGGAAAAAGCAACACAGATGCATGCACACAGGGAGGGATCGGGATGTGGGGGAAAGGAAAGGGTTCTGAGGGCACTGAGGACAGAGGGGCCGGGTCTGCAGGCCCAAGGGAAGCTCAGACAGGGCTTAAGGACACAGAGAGACTGGAGCAAAGGGGGCTTGCTCTGGAAGAGCAAGAGAACAGGGACTAGAAAAGGAAAGAGCATCTTCTCCCCTGGGGTAGGAATTTAATGAAAGCTCCAGAAAAGTAGGGGGCGCGCAGCATGAGATATGTGAGTTTGAGGCCAGGAGGGGGTGGGGGGAGCCGGTCCTGACCGGTCCTGACAGGGCCCAGACATCCAGTCCCAGGTTATTTTTATACTGTGGTTTGTGCCCAAGGCCAGGAAGGGGGAAAAGTTCTCATCCTCACACTCCCTGCCCTCGCTCCTGAAGTCCAAGGTGTTATTTTCTCCTTCAGGACAGACACATCCATCCCCCACATCCCTGGTGGCCCACCCTCACCCCAGGGACCCAGGCATCCTGCCCCCCAGCCCAGACTTGTTCCTCTTTTGGAGACAGGAAGCAGAAAGACCAGAGGATTTAACTCTTTCTCCACTGCTTCCTGCCTCTCTCCCACTCCCTGGTGGCCACCCCCAGTTATCAATCATGGAGAGGCCTAGATCCAGGGGAGCGGAGACAGTGGCCTGAGGGCAGAAAGGACACACCGTCAAGCCCTCCATCCCACCTAGTTCATCACGTCCTTGGAGAAATTTGACTTGGGACAAAGCTGCAGATGGGGCTGGGATGAGTGGCTAATAAGAAGACAGACCCTCACCTTTGGAATGGTGCGGCCAGGGAGACTTTCTTTTTACCCCTCCCCACCAATCTGGACAGCTCCTCTCCCAGAGGCCCAAGCACCTACCCCCATCTGGGACCTCCATCCCCCATGCCTGAAGCCAGAAGGGGTGAAACCAAGACAGAATGTGAGGGCCAAAGTGAGAAGCCCACATCTCTGTGATGGCGAGACAGCACTAAGCTATAAGGAAACAGATGGAGGTCAAAGGTAACAAAGACTGAAGAGAAAGAAAGAAGGTGCAGGATATAGGGGAAGAGGGAGCCTGAGAAAGAAAAGGCTGCATGAAGAGGAGGATGGACTACTTCTCAGGAAGAGGGCAAGAAGAGAAAAGAGGGACAGACAGGTGTTGTTGGAGTGGGGAGAGGGTGGTAAGGAGGTGGAGGCAGGAAGGCCCAAGCTGGAGGTTAGGCCCAGGCCCAGATGAACAAGCACCACCCCTCAGGTGTCTCCCTGACCCCAGAACCCAGCTCTTACCTGCCCCATCTCCTCTGGAGCAACCAACTCCATCCTCAGCCGCAGGGCTCCATCCTTTGATCGGGATAGTGGAGGGGTCCCTGTTGCTGAGCCCCCAGCCTCCAGTTCCACCCTCAGGGAGGGCAGGGGCGTGGCAGCCCGGGAGGGGCCGGCGCTATCCCCTGTCCTGGGCTCTGGGGGACGCTGCTGGGGTGGGGAGGCTGACAGAGGGGGTGTCTCCACCTTGGCTTTACCAGGTACTGCCAGCTGGCCCAGCCCCCGGGTTAAGGAGCGGGCCTGAGGTCCAGGGGAGGTAGGGGGCGCCCGGAGCCAGGAGGTGGGGCCCTGAGACAGGCCTGGCTGCGGGGTTGGGGCACCCAGGCCCAAGCTGGCCAGCTCCAACCTGGAATCCAAAGATCGGCCCCCAGTGCCCCCCGAGGCCCCTCGAACTCCTTCCAGGAGCCGGCTGAAGCCAGGGGTCTCCAGGTCTCTCTCGTAAACATCCACACACGTCCAACGGCCTCGACGATAAGGCTCTCCCAGGCCATGGGGCAGCTTTACCACCCGGAAACGGGAGGCGGGGGCCCCAGGTGGTGGGGAGCCGTTCCGGGGGGTGCTTTTGCCCCCTGGCTCGGGGCTGGGCTCCCCGTTAGGCAGACGGGGTGGGGGCGCGGTGGGGCCTGGCAGGGCAGGGGGCTCTGAAGACCCTGGGCTCCCTGGGCCCTCATAGTCCGTGGTGACGCTGGTGATTTGAAAACTACTCTTCTTCTTGCCCCCACTCATGGTCCCTGGGGCTCAGGACTCGGCCAAGGTGGGCAGGGGGTGCAGCTGGGGCTCCTCCAGGGGCTCAGGCACCCCTGGAACAGGGGGGCCACATGGCGGGGGCATCAGGGCCCCTGGGGACATCTGGGTCCGACATGGCAGGAGGGCTTTGCAGGAACTGGGGGTACTTGGCTGGTAAAGGGAGCACAGGGCAGGGGAGGTGGCAGGAGGTGGGGGCAGGGGCAGGGGCAGGTTTTTCCTGCCCCTGGCGCTGCCCAACTCCAGAGCTGAGTTTGCAAACTGGAAAAAGAGAGAGAGAGAGAGAGTGTGTGTGTGTATGTGTGTGTGTGTGTGTGTGTGTGTGTGTGTGTGTGAGAAAGCAGTGGGCAGGCCACCTCTGGGGCTTCCTCTCTGGGGAGCAGGATGGGGGAGGAAGGGGAAACCACCAGAGACCCAGAGACAAAGAGACTGGCAGAGACGATGGAGACCAGGAGATCCCAGCGGTCCCACAGAGTAGGAAGGGGCGGCCCAGACCAAAGTTGGGCATTTCTTGCCTGGGATTCAGACTCACAGGACCGAGTCGCCCGACAGCAGGAGGGGGCTCCAGGGCCTTGGACGAGCAGGGGTGAAGCAGCTCCTCGGCCGGCCCCGCCGCCGGGAGGCCTCTGCCGAGTGTCCAGGCTCCCCGCACCCCGGCTCCCCGATCCCGATCCCGGGGCAGGCCCTGCCCCGCTGCCCCAGCGCCCCGCCCAGCCAGCCCAGAGCCCTACCTCTCGGCCTCGGCCACCGAGCTGGGCCGGGGGTCCCGGAGCCTAAGATGTCGGGCTGTCCTTCCCGCGGGGCCTCTTGGCCCCAGCAGCGCGGGGGGCGCGGGCGGCGATCAGGGGCTGTCCGGTTCTCTTCGGGGGCCGCACTTCGCCCCGCAAGGCATCTTCGTAAAAAGTTTGCTCGCCAGAAAAGAAGGAACCCCCGCCTCCTTGGTGGAGCCCAGGCGCGGCCTCTGAAGCCCCAAGGGTCTCCGGACTGGTGAGGGAAGAGGCGGCTCTGCCCCCACCCCGATCCTCCAGGTGGAGCCGCCTAGGTGGCTGGGGCGAGCAGGTCTCTCAAATCTCCCCCGCGTGGAACCGCTGGGTCTCTCTCCGCTCCTCGGCTCTTCTCTCTCCGGTCTCTCTGCCTTTCTCTTTCTGGGCTGTTGACAACCCCCACACCAGGAAGTCCTGCCTCCTCGGGCCTGCTGACTGCTCCTCTCCTCCTCCTCCTTCCCCTCTTCCTCCCCTTCCTCCGCCCTCTCTGCCTCCTGGGGCTCCCGGCCAGCTGGCCCGGGGCCAGGCCTGCCACCACCTCTGCTGCCACTGCTGCTGCTGTTCCTGCCCCCCCCCACCCCCCGCAACAGGCTTAACCCCACACCTGCTGGGCCCCAATCCTGCGTTTCCTCGGAGGGAGGGGCCGTGGAGGGCAGAGAGAAAAGGGGAGGAGTTTGCCAGGGGGCCAGGGATTCCCTCACTTGTAGGCACTTGCTGCCATTGGCCTACAGAGAGAGCAAGAACTTGCCAACCAGGGGCTCTGCTGGGTGCCCGCCCCCCCATAAGCTGCTGCTCAGCTCTTGTCCTATCTTCACTGGTGTTCACAGTAACTCTATGAGGAAGGTACCGTTATTCTTTCCTGTCTTTATTTTAAAACGTGGATTATGATGACAATTTGCAAATGGGCCCCCAAGTAGAGAGAAATGATAAACTCCCAAGTCCCCATCGTGCAGTTTCAACAATGATCAGCTCACAACCAACCTGGGTTCTTCTATACTCCCAATATCTCTTGTTGTGCTGTGCTGGAGTATTTTAAAAAAATCCCAGGCACCATATTATCCCTCTTCTTAGATGTAGATATTGAGACCCGGAAGGTTCCGAGAGGCTGTCAGTGGTACAGCTGGAACATTCTACACACTCAGGTGTGCCCTTGTCTGGCCCCTATATAAAGAAACAAAGAGATATACTCAGAAATGTGCTGACTTGCACTTTCTCTCCAACCCTGGTCGTCACACACACATGTATACATAATGTACACACAGATGCACCTGAGGACAAGCCCTACCCCCCCACCTCTCCCATCCCATCCCTTCTTTGCTATTGGAGAAGCCACACCACACACACACACACACACACACACACACACACACACACACACGAAGGCCTTACCGAATTACCCAATGCCTGGCATGAAAAAATAACCCTCCGATGGCCACTTTCTCTTTTATGGCACCCTCAACCAACAATCTGAGCAAGAGCAGGGTTGAAAAGCCACATCTGCCTTCACTCCTAGCTTTGAAAGGAATTGGATTCTAATTAATTTTGGTCAAATGGAAGTATTCTTGAGCATATTGAAAATTTCTCATATTTGCCTGCTTTATATAGTTATTTCATGGACTATAAAATAGTCGGGGGCAGAGATGGGGTAGGTTTTGAGCTTCAGCATTTCCGCAAGAGGAAACAGAGGCTCACAGGTAGTCAGTTATTTGCCCGAGGCCCCAGAGCTAGTATTTGATGGCATTGAGACTAGGACTGGGCTGACACATCCCTCCCTCTTCAGCTTTCACTCATGGAAATTTTTAACCACTCTTCGGGGTTAGGGAAAAACAAAATGATGCCTCCTGCCTGGATGTTTATATATTTATTCTGCATTTCTTTGTTAAAATGCATCTGCACTCCTTGCCTCTCTCCCTTCACAGTAACGCAGCTGGGTCCTAAGGCCTCCCAAGTCCTGAGGTCGAGGAGGCAGCCTCCCACACAAGTCCCCCACGCCCCCAACTCGCTCCCCTCTGGCAATATTCAGAACACCGCCAGGCTGCTCCGCCCCCAGATCCTCCTTTCAGCGCTGACACCCTACAAACTATTCAAAATTTATCTTTGGACCCTCCCCTTCCCACCAACTCTGAGCATCAAGTTGGACTCCTCCGTGTCTGCCCGCCTGGGATATTGCTGGTCTCTGTAGAAATGTTTATTGAATGAATAAATAAAAATTCATTCACACTAAGGTGTAAATGTGAAAGGACTGTTTTGTATTTTGTGTTCCATCTCCTGGGAGCAATAATCGCCCTTTAATGTATTTTACGGCTTACAAAGCTCCCCGTATTAATTCTTTTGCGCCCTCAACAACTTTATGGAGGTGGATACGAGGCATCTCTCAGAGAGGCGGTGTGATTTGCCCAAAGCCACACAGCACACCTGCAACGATTTGCCATATAAAGTAACGGGCACAGGTTCCGGGGATTAGAGGTGGCTATCTTTTGGGGGTCCATGTTTCAGCTACTTAAGCGTAGAACCCAGGTCTTCTTGCAGCTAATGTGTGGCAAAGGGATTTCCGAGGGAGGATTTCTCAGGGCTAAAGAGAAAGGTGATGCGGCGTTGAGGAGGGGGCGCGAGGTCACGACCCTGAGCGGCAGCCTCGACCGCACCGGGCCGTTGCCGCTGTGGTCCATCAGAGGCCGACCGCCGGGGGCACCCAGGAGCTGGCGGGAGGCGCCATGGAGTCAGAGGTTACTGGGAGGATGACTTGAGCCGCTCGGGCGGACTGGCGAAAGCCTTTGAGCCCAGGCGGTGGAAAGAGGTCCGGGCGCCCGGGAAGCTCCAGGCATAGGCGACCAGCAGCAGGAGAGCCAGCTGCAAAGTCCTCCCAGCACCTGCAGGGCGGCAGGAAGAGGGGCGCAGCCAAGGGAGCACGCCCCCTGCTGGGCAGAAACGCGGACGGTCGGGCTCACGACTCTCCGAGCCCCTCGGCCCGGAAAGCGGCACCCCCTGCCGGCCTCGTCGCCTCACTGCACCCCGGGCCCCGCAGCCGCAGCCTCGCCCCGGCCCGACGCGGGGTGCGCACCCGGGAAGCGCGGGGCGCGCACGGGGTACGCACGGGGGTGCAGGTCCCGGGCTGCCACCGGGGGGCGCCGCTACGCGCTGCGCCCTGCTTCGCTCCGCCGGGGCCTCGGACACCGAACCGAACACGGCCCGGCCGGATAGAGGCCGAGGGGCGACGAGGAGCGGACGCCTCAAAGCGGGGGCGGGCCGGCGCCAGGTCCCCCGCGCCCCGCGACCTTTCTCCGAGTCCCCCCGCGGACTCCGCGGGCTCTGCGTCCCCCGCGCCTCCCACCCCAGCCTGGCGGCGCAGCGCGGCGCGGCCGCTCCCATTCCGTCCTTGGAGGGTGTGGAAGGGTGGGTTTGGGGCCGGGGGCGGGTCTGGGGGCGGACCCGGAGGCGGGGCTGTCTCTGCGGCAGGGCCCAGCTCGGCTCCCCCCGGTCTCTCTCTGTCTCTCCTCCTCCCTCCTCCTGCTCCGGGCGGAGCCCGGCATGGGGGGGCCGGCGCCCGGCAGGCCAGGTACGGTGATGTGGAAATTGGGGATCCTTGGTGCGGGGAGGTGGGATGGGGGGGACAGGGAGTAGTGAGGATTGGCAGGGCGAGAGACGGAGAAACCCTGGGTAGCAGGACAAGGGGAAGGGGAGGGGTGCCCGGGAACCTGGGGGCCTTGGATGGAGAGGGGAATGAAGCCGCCAGGTTTGGAACAAACAGGGAAGGGAGAGGACGGCAGTGAGGAGGGGCGCCTAGGAGGAGAGGTGAGGCCGACGGCGAAAAGGAGAGTGTGTTTAGGGGGAGGGAAGCCAGAGCAGGTCTGGAGGCCGCAGCTCAGAAGGTAGCTATGGGGCCAGACTGGAGACCCCCGGGTGGGATTGAGGGCAGGGACTGGAAGAGGGAAGGCGGGAGCCTTGCCAGATCCTAGAGGAGGGAGAAGGGGATTGGGGCCATCACCGAGGGAGGCGGAGAGGGTCACTGAGGGGCCAGGGCACAGGAATAGGGGTGGCCGGAGGCCCGGGCCCAGGCAAAGGACTGGAAGGGGGAACTGCCCGAAGGGAATGGAAATAGATGGATGGGTAGTGTTGTAGATACCCAACTCAGAGTGCCCTCGCCCCTTTGCCAGTATCCCCACCCTGCCCTCATGACACCCCCAGCCTCAGAGCACAAGAGGGGGTGGGGATTCTGACCATCTCCCCCTTCCCCAGTGGGGTGCAATGTACGCATGTAGGCCCTAGCAGAACTCCTTGTCTGTAGGTATGTCCAGTTCTGTGTAGCTGGTTGGTGTGTGTCTGGAGGTCTGTGTGTGCTGTGGGTGTGTCGGGGGTGTTTATGTCTGTGTGTGTCTGCCTGTTCCTAGGTTGTGTTTACCTATGCTGATCTATGTGTCTGGTCCTCTGTTTGTAGATACGGGTCTGTGGCCTGGTGGTTTGTGTGTCTGTGTGTTTGTGTGGCTGTGGGGTTGTTGTGTATTTGTGGGGCCTGTCTGGGGGTAGATCAGGATGTATTTACAGGATGGGAATCTGCGTCGAGCTGATCTCTCCCAAATGTGTATTTGTGGCTCTGAACACCTTTGTCAGGGTGTGTGACTCTGTGTACACATATCCTTCTATGTCTGTCTGTCTTTGGGTCCTAGAGGCAGTGTTGGGGATTTCTCTGCCTCCATCTGTTTTCCACTCTCTGAGGACCCAACTCACATCTCCTTTCTCTCTCTCTCTCTCTCTCTCTCTCTCTCTCTCTCTCTCTCTTCTCTCTCTCATTCATTCCTGGCCCCTATCCACCCCACATCTTTCTTTTTTTCCTTCCCATCTCCCTCACCAAGTGGATCCGGGACCCAGGGAGGGCCGCCCCCCGGGCCTGGTGGCGCTGAGCAGGGCCCCCCAGCCCCCACCTCCTGCCCCACGACATGAACCTCCTCTACCGAAAAACCAAGCTGGAGTGGAGGCAGCACAAGGAGGAGGAGGCCAAGAGGAGGTAAGGCTGCAGCCCCAGATTGCCCTCTGGGCTGTCCCACCTCTGCTTCCCCAGTGGCTGGGCCACATCCTTCTGCCCTTCCTGGGTCTAGCAGCCTGGTCTTGAGTCTGACCTGAGAGTCTGTGCTCAGAACAGAATTGCTGGAATTGGATCCACCTTGTCCCCACCCTGCTCCTGGCTCCTGGCTCTAGCTTGTCCTGGCTTCTGGGGAGGGGCTTCCAGCTCAGGAGTACCCTATTGGCTCTTCCCCACCCCTGGAGGCTCAAGTCACTCTTTTCTGACTCACCTCTGGCCTGTTGTCTTCTTTCTGTCAATGTGGGATTGGCTCAAGGCTCCCCTGTCACCTGACCTTGGAAGGGGCAGGCCCTGCTGCCCTCATGGTCCAGGGACAGGGTCATTTGAGGGGCACCAGAGAAGATCCATTTGGCCCCCTCCCCACCTCCTCTGTTGGGGAAGA